CAGTCAAGGGCACGTACCTCGGTGGTGGTTCGGTCCCCAGCCTGAACGGGGTCGTGCGGGAGGCAACTAATCGATGTATCTCTCTCACATTAATGTTTCTCTCTCTCTCACTCTCCCATCCTCCCTCTCTCCCTCCCTCCCACTCTATCTGAAGATAAATGGAAAAGTATCCTTTAGTGAGGATTTAAAAGATGTGTGTGTGTATGTGTATGTGCGTGCATGTGTATGTGTGTGTGTGTGTGTGTGTGTAAAATAGCAGTCCCTTCTGGTGTGATGATAAGGCGTTACTGAGTTGGTGGTAAATATTGCATTCTTTGGCCAATCAAAAAAGAAGCAAAAAGGTTGTCTAAAAAGTTTAAATATTTTGTCTTTCATCACTCGAATCTGTCATCCAAATGCAGTTTAGTAACCGTTTTATTGAGATATAATTCACATACCACACACTTCATCCATTTAATGTGATACTTCAATGGTTTTAAGTATATCCACAGTTATGAAAGTTATCACCACAATCAAGTTTGGAACATTTTCATCATTCCAAAAAGGAATTCTATTCCGCATCAGCAGTGACTCACCATTCCTCCCGCTGCCACAGGCAACCACTTTTTATCTCTACAGATTCGCCTGTTCTGAACATTCCATATAAATGGTAATACAGCATGTGTCCTTTGGTCCGACTTCTTCCTCTTCGCATAATGTTTTCAAGCATCTTCCATGTTGTAGCATTATATCAATACTTTATTTTTTATTTATTATTTTTATCCTCACCCGAGGACATTTTTGCATTTATCCTCAGATAGAGTGGGAGGGAGAGAGGGAGGAAGAGAGAGAGAAACATCGATGTGAGAGATACACATCAAATGGTCGCCACCCACACGACCCCAACCAGGGCCAGGGACAAACTGCAACCGAGGTACGTGCCGTTAGCAGGAACTGAACCCGGGTGTCTCTGGTCTGTGGGCCACACTCTAACCGCTGAGCCAAACCAGCCAGGGCAGTACTTTATTTTTTTTATTGCCAAATAATATTTCATTGTATGGTTATACAGCACATTGTTTATCCATTCATCAATTGATGGACATTTGAGTTGTTTCTGTGTTTTGCTATTACGGATAATGCTGTTGTGAACATTTTTATGCAGACACAAATAGATATATAGATATAGATATAGATATAGATATAGATATAGATAGACATAGACATAGACATAGACATAGACATAGACATAGACATAGACATAGACATAGATAGATATAGATATATAAGAGTAAAATTGCTGGGTCATGTAGTAACTCCATGTTTAATCATTGGGAAAACACCAGGCTGTTTTCCAAATGGCTGCATCATTTTACCTTTCCATCAACAGTATATAAGGGTTCCAATTTCTCCACATCCTTGCCAACACTTGTTATTACGTCTTTTCTTTTTTTTTTTTTAATTATAGCCATCCTGGGAGTGTGAAGTGGTAACCAAATGCATTTTTAAGTGTAAAAACATGAAAATCCATTGTGCAAGGAAGTACAGTATTTTATGACAAGGAGAAGCATGAAGAAATTAGGAAAAGGAGCCTTCGGTCAGGCTGGAAAAGGAGATGTTTTTAAGTCTTTTACTTAATTTCATGTCCTTAGGCAACCATCTGCCCTATCCAAAGGGTTGGGATTGTGGACAGCCCTTAATGTCACATCTGGAGCTTATAATAATCATAACAACTAATTTTGGTTTATTGATTTATTTCACAACATTTCTTTCCATGTTATATTCCATTGGATCCAACACCACAAACCTGATATGGAGGATTTTATTATTCCCATTCTGCAGGTAAGAGCACTAAGACCCAGAGTACTTAATTGACTTGCTCCCAAAAAGGGTAGTTAAAAATATATACATACATAAATACATATTAAATAAATAAAATTCACAGAGCTAGGCCTGGAAGCCAATTTTTTTTTAATTGACTTCAGAAAGAGGAAGGGAAAGAGAGAGAGAGAGAGAGAGAGAGAGAGAGAGAGACATGAATGTGAGAAACATTAATTGGTTGTCTCCTGCACGTGCTCCATCCGGGGATCAAACATGCAACCTGATCATGTGCTCTGACTGGGAATCAAACTGGCCACCTTCCGGTATACGAGTCAATGCTTCAACCATCAGAGTCACACCAGTCAGGGTGGAAGCCAATTTTTTTTTATGTCAAATCCCAATCCTTAGTTTCCTCTTTCCTTATCACCTTCATTCACCTCATTGTTGGTGACCCAGGAAATAATGGACAAGCAAGACAAGGCAGAGAGAAATTGTGTGTGTGTGTGTGTGAAGTAATTAGAGGCAGGAAGCCTGCACATCACAAAGTCCCCACAATTAGACTGTGAGAGAGCATCTAGGGACTTAAACCCAAGATGTGATGGTGTCAGCAAGGATGGCTGTATGCCCACTCCTATATGAGGTACCTGCAGTAACTAAGAAGCCAGGCATAAGGCCACTTAAATCTCTAAATTCTGAATATATATTATCTGTACTTACAGTAATTACTGTAATACATACCAGTCATTCAAATATTTATTGAGTAATTATGATGTGCCAGGCACAGTGCTAAGGAGAGATTTTAAGAAGCAATGCCTATAGCCCTGGCTGGTGGCTCAATTGGTTGAAGCATCATCCCATACCCCAAATGGTTACAATTCAATTCCTGGTCAGGGCACATACCTAGGTTGCAGGTTACAGGTTCGATCCCCAGTCAGGACACATACAGGAGGCAACCGATCAATCTCTCTCTCTCTCCCCCTTCCTCTTGCTCTAAAAAAATAAATAAAAATCATATCCGCAGGTGAGGATTAAAAAAAAAAAAAAAAAGCAGTGACTATAAATACCTAACATTTACTAAGCCTTTTACATATAGCATTTCATTTAATCCTCACAAAATTCCTGCAAGACAAATGGAAACTGAGTCATGGAGAAGTTAAGTAAATTGTCCCAAAGTCACAGAACTCATACACGGTGGAGATGGAATAAGAACCCAGGCAGCCTGGTTCTGTACCTGTGTTCTGAACCACCACCCAACCCTTCCTGCCAGGTCTTGCTCGGCTGGAACTCACATGTGGTGACACATAGAGACTAATAATACTAATTAATTCCAGCAACCATTTGTTGAATGCTCATTAATACATGAAGCCCAGGGGCAAATTCTCACAATAAGCCCATGAAGAATTTGTCTTCATTACCGTTTTAGAGGGGAAAGAGTTTCAGAGCAGTAAATTAACTTGTCCAAGGTCACAGACCTATAATAGGTAAAGCAGACCTGGTGCTACTGTATGTATACCAGGCACTGTTCTAAGCACTAATATATCTAATTTCCAGAACAACACTATGAGGACGGTTCCATTATTACCCATTATTCTTAGTTAAGAAACTTGTCCAAGGTCCCACTCTTGTAAGTGGCAAACCCAGGACCCACTCTGGCTTAAAGTCCTCACCCAAACAAAATGTTGACTCTTGGCTACAAAGTAGCAGAACAGAAATTCAAACCCAGTTCTGTCTAACTCTTGGGTGAGAGAGAGGTCTATATCCTTTTCCCAACATACTTAGCATGTCCTGCAAACGTGCTGTAGTGCTGAGGGCTGCTAGGGAAGGAAGGAGTAACAATAGTTCTGGGGACCCTCCAGAAAGGACCATTTAAGCTGCATCTTGAAGATGAAAGTAAGTGCTCATCGGACAAAGAGAGGCACCATGCAATTTATTATTTTAAAGGAAATGAAACATTTCTAATTGAGGGCTTTGAAAAAAAGACAATGTAGTTTCAGATTGAATTATAAGATCTTTACTGTTTAAATTTTTCAATTAGAAATATGTTTGATGAGGGAAAAATAAGGTTTTAAAATTGGCTATACATTAAAAAATCATCACGAAATAGAAATGGGCAATTTTTGAACGTTAAACTCAGTTAATTCTGACTTCCAATATTGACTTCCTCAATCTAAGTGCTGCGAGCAGGGTGATTACCAAACCGTAGGGATCTCTGCAAGATTTTCTCTCCTTCAAATCTGAAACACAGCATTTAGAAACCATAATGAACCTGGAGATTCAGATCGAAAACTAGAAGGAACCGGTGTGCACGAGAGGCCGGCAGGCAAGTTGTGGCTCAAACACTGCAGAGCCAGGGTTTTTCCCTAGCAAACTGATTTATGACCAACAGAAGGGCAGCCGCAGAACCGGTCAGACCGTAAGGACAATTCTCAAACATGAAGCCAAGAAGAAGGACCAGTGTGGGACGGGAATGGTAAAGCTGGGTCAGTCTGGGGTGTCACTGCCTGTCCTGGGTGAGACCCGTCAAATCCTAACTCTTGGCCTATGGACTCAGCTACCCAAAATGTGCGCGCTGGGGTGGTTAACACAGCAGCAGGGCAGCGGGACAAGGTGCCTCCACGCCCCCTTGCGGACCCAAATGACTGTAGAAGAGAATGTGCCCATTTAGTGATAGGTAGTGTTTCGAAAATTTTCTCTCAGTGTAGCCCTCACAACCACCCTTCAAGAGAGGCGCCTTGATCAGCCCATTTTACAGATGAAATGCTGAGGCTCAGGGAACTGAAGCAAGACTTGCCAGCCAAAAGGGAAACCTTAAATGAAAGCGATCGTTGGGCTGGTTCCTTTTACTCGGGAGTAAAGAGGAGGGAACTGGGGCCGGCTGAAGGCCCCCACCGACCCCTCTGGGCGGATTAGGAGCCGGCTGTCACCCGGGAGGCCTGGCAACGCCCAGGTGCCGGGAAGAGGGAGCGCGCGCGGTGGGCGGCAGCGTGTCAGGGCGCAGGGCGCAGGGCGCAGGGCGCACCGCCGCCTCCAGAACCCCGCGCCAGTCCCGCAGGGCGCCACGGGGACTGTCCACGAGCCCGCAGCCGTCCCGGAGCCCCGCGCGAGTCGCTAGCCACGAGCCACGGCGCGCGTGCGCGCGGGATTGCTGCGGACACGGGTTGGCAGTGCCACCGCGAGCCCACCGGCACTGCCCCACGCCTTACCGGAGCTGCTCCCCGGTGACCAGGACCTCAGCCATGCGCTCCAGCTCCCTTTGCTGCGCCCCGCCGCTCCCGCTGGGGCTGTTGTCGCTGCCACCGCTGCCCGCGCTGCCAGCGCTGCTTCCCTCCATGCTCAGGGCCGCGCCGCTACCACTGTCTTCGCTGGCCGCCTCGGGTTTGGGTGTTAAATCAGTTTGCCCTCACGGAAGCCTTTCCCGCCATCTTTGTTAGGGGCAGTCCCGTTGCTCGGACGCGATTGGCTGGGTAGGGAATCCCTGTGGGTAGGCTGAGGTGCTAGGCGAGTCCACTCCAGGAACTCCAGCTTGGGGGCGTGACTGGAGCCCCGCGTGGTCGGGAGGCGGGGCCTAGGGAGGAAAATATAAACATCTGGGCGGGGCCCCGGTGCAGTGTTCTGTGTGCCGGTGAAGAGCGCACCTTCCTTTGCCCACGGAGCTCCTGCTGTGGGGCCCGGGGACCCGGCTGGGAGGTTACTAAACAACTGTGAAGGTATTTGAATTATACTTTCCATGCCCAAAATTGCCAAAAAGTAAAAAAATAATAACGGTATAGCTGAATAGTGAACGCTGAAGGATATACAGGTCATTGCAGGGCATGGAGAAATTAAGTATTTTTCTCCACCCAATCCCCTTCAACAAAGATAGTTTACTTACCTTAAGGTGTAATCAGTAAAGAACGTTGGCCGGGGTATCAGACAGACCTGGGATCCAGCTCCACACCAACAATTAATCCTCAGTTTCCTCCTTTACAAAATAAAAATAATCGTGACTACCACTTGTTGACATGTGCTGCATTAAAGATGCTTCGGATAGTTGTTGCCTTCCTTAATTAGTGCAAAGAACCATAAATGGGTATTGTCCTCATTTTATATCAGGAAGCAGGCTCAAAGAGATGGGGAACTTGTTCAAGGCAAGCAGCTAATAAGTGCAAGAAGTAAGAATCAAACCCAGGACATTCTGGCTTCAAAACTGTTCTTAAAAGATAACCCCTTAAAATAGAGATATGATGGCATTGTCTACCGTACAGGGAATAGGGAAGGAACTTTGACTAATGCCAAATGTCCTGTTTTTCTGTTTCATGCAAGGTCAGAGCCTTGTCTGCAGGAAAACCCAAGTAGTGCTAAATGGCAGTGATCATTGTAATAAAAGAATATCTGCATGTTGACGTTTTGTGCAGTTTGTTACCATGTTTGTATAAATACAAGTCTGTGCACCCTTACAAGTAAATGTGAACCTATTTTTTTAATTAACAATATCTTGAAAGACATAATCTTTCAATTGCCTACATGTAGTAAGTAGAAGTCTACAGAATAAAAATGAAAACGAGAGGGCTGTTGAAAACCGACTTCTCTTCTTTGTATATTATATACCAATTCTGCTATTCAAAAGTATTTATGCCCACTATCTTGAAAGCTTACTGTTTCTATTGTTCGGTTTTGTTATTAGCATTTTATTTTTAAAGATCACCATAGCCTTTTCCAACATTCAAGATCACTACTTGAATTAACTTAAAATCTGCAACATTTTGTTGAACATTTATTTATTCTGTCCTTCAGATGATGCTAAGGACTTTGTTTCTATTACTTAATTTATTCTCACAAAGAGGGTGAAAGTTAAGTATTCTTCATGTGAATTTGCAAAGGAAAGGCTTAGGCATAGAAAGGTAAAGTAGTTTGCCTAAATATCACACCTAGAAAGTCAGGCAGCCCTCGAACCCTACTTCTTCAGACTCTCAAGGCCATGCTCAACCACACTGCAGAAGGAGAACAATTGTCCATCTGCCTCCTGAATTCAACAATAGATATTAGGCAACTCTTTTGCCAAAAGAAATTATCTAAATTTCTTAACTTTTTAAATAGACCATGACAAACATGTAGACCAAGTGAGAAAAAGTTCCGGGTGAATATGATTCTAAGAGCCTCATTATTTAACAAGGTAGAAATCCCAGAGTTAATGAGTTTAACAGCTGGCTGTTGCTCAGGTTTTAATCCTGTAACATAGAATATCAAGAGTTTGCATGAGCTTCACACTCAAACATGCAGTTACTCTTCTGATGCTGTCATTTACTAACTTTGCAGCCTTATGCTAGTTACTTAACTTCTCTGGGCCTCAATTTCCTACTGATAAAACTGGAATAACAATTCCTACCTTTTGGGATGTTATGTAGCCTAAATGAGATAATAGTATGTAAAGTTTCCATGTACATGATATGTGTTCGATAGATGTTCTCTTTATGATGCTAGACAAAAAAACTTTTTCTCAAGTTATCCCTAGTTAATATTTTAATTATTAGTCCTTCAAAGTGAAGAAAAGAGAAGTATAAACCTGGCCCCTCTAAGCTTTTTGAAAGTGCAGAATGAGAAAAACAGTAAATTGTTACACATTTCTAATTATTCATTGTTCAAGCAACACTTTGTTTTATCCAAAAGCTCTACCTACAAATGTAAGTTATATCACTATTGTGAATGTCTTTGATTTTTTTCTACCTTTTAAATCTAGTCATATTTTCATTTGAATTCAGGCATCACTCTTTATCTGAAAAAAAATTGTTTTGTCTTGTAAAATACTTTTTAAAATTTTTATTTATTTATTATTAAATTTGTTTTTGTTACAGATGTTTCTCCTTTTTCCCCCTTTGACACCCTCGTCCCCGTCTCCCCCACCCCCCGCCTTATCCCCAGCTTTGTTGTCCATGTCCATTGGTCATGCATACATGCATATAAGTTCTGTGGTTTCTCTCTTCAGCCCAAGCCCCCTCCTCTGAGGCTTGTCAGTTTGTACCCCACCTCTATGTCTCTGGGTTAATTTTGTTCTTCAGTTTGTTTAGTTCATTATATTCCACAAATAAGTGAGATCATGTGATATTTGTCTTTCTCTGCTTGGCTTGTTTCGCTTAGCATAATACTCTCCAGGTCCTTCCATGCCATCTCAAAGGATAAGAGATCTTTCTTTCTTACAGCTGCATAGTACTCCATTGTGTACATGTACCACAGCTTTTTAATCCACTAATCTACTAGTAGATGGACACTTGGGTTGTTTCCAGATCTTAGCAATTGTAAATAGTGCTGCTATGAACATTGGGGTACATATATTCTTCCTGATTGGTGTTTCAAGCTTCTTAGGGTATATTCCTAGAAGTGGGATCACTGGGTCAAATGGAAGTTCAATTTTTAACTTTTTGAGGTAACACCATAGTGTTTTCCACAGTGGCTGCACCTACAATACTTTTTTGTTTAATCGTTTCTTTTTTTAAAAAAAAAAAACAGCCCTGGCCAGTTTGGCTCAGCGGTCAGAGCATCGGCCAGTGGTCCCGAAAGACCCGGGTTTGGTTCCCGCTAAGGGCATGTACCTCAGTTGCAGTTTGTCCACGGCCCTGGTTGGTCATGCGGGTGGCAGCCACTCTATGTGTCCCTTTCACATTGGTGTTTCTCTCTCTCTCTCTCTCCCCCTCCCACTCTGAACAAAAAATGGAAAAATGTCCTCTGGTGAGGATAAAAAAAACAAAAACAAAAACAACTCATCATAAAAGTTTATGATAAAAATAAACTATGATTTTAAAAAAGCACCTTAACAGAAGGGAAAGTAATTCAAGTTGGGAAAATACCGGATTACTCCAGTAAGAGGGAGAAAGAGAATTTATCTTCCATGCTTGAAAAGAAGGTTGTGTGTGTGTGTGTGTAATGTGAATGGAAAATGGGTGACTGTTTGCTGATATTGTTTTAACCTTTCTTTTTGACGTTATGAGACACACCATGCTCCGCTGGGTTAGAAGACAGACCCTGTTTTGCTAACTTGGTGAAAGATTAGTGAACTGACTGCTGAGGACATGTGAGTACTGACGTGGGACCGGGCTCTGGAGTAACTGGTCCCAGAAAGAAGTGTGACCAGAGGTACTGATAGGTAGGAGAAGGGCGCCGACAGGGCAGTTAATCCAGTGTGAGTATCCTGGAAGGGCTGAAAATTCAGACACCTGGGTTTGATTCCTGGCTCCGTTGAGACAAGTTCATCATCTCTGAATTTTCTGTCCTCCTCTGTAAAGTCAAGATCATACCACCAATCTCATGGGGTTGTTGAGAGTATCAAATAACATGTAGAATGCACTTGTTGCAGGTGGAAACTATTAAATGTATGCCTTCTCTTCCAGCTCCCCCGACTTACCTGCTTTATGCCTTCCAGCTGGTTTTGTGTTCTGACGCCAACGCTTCTCAAACTTTTGGTGGGGAGGCACCGGGTGTGTGTGTGTGTGTGTGTGTGTGTTCAATCCATAAAGACTGACACGATAGTAAAATAAAATAAATTAAAATAAAATAGAATAGAATAAAATAAAATAAAATAAAATAAAAATCTATACAAAACTTCCCTGGCTGGTGACTTGGTTAGTTGGAGCATAGCCCCATACATCAAAGGGATGTGGGTTCAATTGCCAGCAGGGCACATGCCTCCATTGCGAGTTCGATCCTGGGTCAGGGCACATAAAAGATTCAACCAATGATTGCATAAATAAATGGAAGAACAAATCACTGTTTTTTCTGTCTCTCTCCCTTCTTCTGTCTCTCTTTAAGAATTAATAAATACATATATATATATTTCTAATGACAAAACAGTGGTAGGGAAATTTTTCACATTTCCTCTTTGTCTGGCTGGTCAAATAAAGCAGGTTAACAGGAGAAAACCACAAGGACTTCACACAAGCATGAAAATTCCAAAGAAAGTGAGGCAACATTTCTGAACTAAAGATAAAGAGGGGGAAGTCGGGGTCTAGGACTTCAAAAGGAAATAAGAATTTAAATGGGAATTTTTAAAAAGAGTTAATGTTTAGTAAACAAATGTTTGTTGGGTCATCTTGAAACAATGGGAAGCAGAGAGGACTTTGGTTAAAAGGGCTTTGCCAGGTTCCTCCCTGTTTATCACACACTAGTTCAGATTAACCTGTGGTTATCTATGATGATACCTCCCTTCATGAAGCAGGTCCTCACCCTCTATCTAAATTCTTTTTAGGGGGAAGGACAAAGCTTCTTTCTGAGTCTTTTGTTTCTTAAAAATAATCAGCTTAAAGTAATTAATATCTAACGAGGCATATTTTGAGGTGGCAAACTCTGCTGCCCCTTAAAAACAATCTAGGAAATCACAGCTACCTGGAAATACAATTTGCTCCTAAACAATTCAGGGGCAAAGAAGTGATTACAAAGAGAATTAGAAAGTGTATCAAACGTGTGATGATGAAAGATAACGTTTC